CCCTGGGTACACGAGTCAAATATATGCACCGTATGACACATAAGGTCGGGCCCACCATCTGCACTAGTTATACTTTAGTGTAGTCCCAAATATGACACATAAGGTTGTGCCCACCATATGCACTAATACTTTAGTGCAATCCCGAATATGTAGCCTGTTGCTGGACTCTATGGCATGCCAACTATACCATGTCCCTCAATGACTTACGTGGGCATATAGTCTATTTTTATTTTATTCATCCATAACAAAGTATATAAATACTATTTAACCTTTGGGCAGTTCATACCCGAAATAACATTTGCAATACACAGTATATATATTCATGATAAACGCCATGTATAATAAAAAAAATGATCAATGCATTGTATATTCAACCCTTGACATATTTAGAATATGTCAAATATATGATATATGACTTAAATATCATGTCGATGTCAACAAGGTAGACTTATTACAAATCTTACCCAGTGATGTATAAAACATCCATGTATAATGTTATGCATGCACTGCACTCCTTTTTGACATTATATACAAGTCAAAATATAAGCCTCACTAAGCTTTAATTTGATTCTTTGCTTCTAATTTGGTTAAAACCCAAAATTTATTATAATTTCATATCCTGGCAGTTTGCACTACATTTAAAGAAATATTATTTTGTATTAATATACACCTTTAAAATTATTCTGTTTATACCAATGGAAACTATACTCAAATATGAATCTATCCATATAAGGAACTCCTTCTAGTTCAATTTTTACAATTTATGGTTAATTTTCAAAGTTGACCGGCAGAATCTATTTTGAGTAGAATCTGCTGTCCCATTTTCTGACCTATTTTCAGTTAAAGATTCATATTTTTTTGTATACAAATCGAAATCAGTTTCCGTTTGTTCTAAAAAAATCTAGACTGGCATATTAATTCAAAGGTATAAAAATCATCATCTAATCATTTTTTTAAAAGTTACGGAAATTTTCTAAACATACCGTTCAGAACACCAAATATGGGCATATTTCACCAATTGAATTTTCAACTTGTTCACTAATTCTATTAGCTCACCAAATACACATGTAACCAGGCATCACAAATCACATAAAATTTTAGGAGTCACTTTTTACCATAATAACTGTGTCATTGGCTCGTCACAAGCCAATGTTGTTCGATAACATAAATACAAATTAAATTTGCACTCATCTGGTGTCCTTAGCTTGCAAATTTCCCTTTGGATTTCACATTCCATCCTTAAGCTTTTCCTTAGCTTTAATATTGGTTGATCTTGATTTTAGGCACACAATCTAAATAAGCATCATTACCAAAGATATACAAATTCAAACCAAATGTTAGAATCTTCTAACATAGGCATACTTCAGAAAATAAATTCCTAACAGATTTTTCGATGCTTATTCGATACAATTTTCATGTCACAACATAAATGTTGACCTTAACACTTCCAATTGATCATTCAAATTCCATTTAATCCATATTGACATAACATTTTCACTTTAGCTCCCAAACTTTCCATATTTGTTTTAACTTTTATAAGCTTTCCAAAATAACCCAATTTCATATCCTAACTTCAATTTTAACACTCAAACATTAATTTCCAGCATATTATATCAAATATTGAACAATTACACAACAATCCAAAATTTTTCCAAAAATTGTTGATTGGGTCCCCCAACTTTTCAAAATTTATAGAATGGTCGCGTTAAACCCTAGTCAAGAGGCTTCGACGTTATCACACTACTGATTTCTATGGATTAGGTGAGGATGATATGGTTGTTGTGGATCAATGTCTTTGAGATACATAAGGGATATTGAGGTAGATGAGGGGATTCTCAAGGATAGCTTGGAGTGCATTGTATCTCATTTTAGGGATAAAGCATATGATTGATGGGAGACTATTAAGATAGGGTTATAGCTAAGTTGTTGACCTGAGAGTACTTCTAGGCCGAGTTATGAAAAAAGTAAATATGTTAAGCTCATGTGGTCGAGTTGGTCGATCAGTTCATGCACGTGATTTAAAAGGACTAATATGTATTGAAGTATAAACATAAGTTTTTGAGCTTGAGTAAGTATGCTCCAAAGTTTGTTACAATAGAGGAGGCACAACATAGGAGATTCTTGTATACACTGCAGTATGACATCAGATGTATTTGATGACAGAACTAGCCAAACTGTTCTTTGAGTTTGCCACCAGGCTAAGGCTCCTACGAGAGTTAGGAATACGGCTCATAAGAAAACTAAGGGATTCAAGGGTCAATCTGGGAGGACTCAGGATGCCACAAGTCTTTCTTAGATTTCAACCAAAAGGGTTTGGGATTATGGAAGTGCAGAGAGAGATGAACTTATACAATCAAAAAGGTATGGATGTCTATCACATAAATCAAGTTATGGTGCCTGTAAGAGGCATTTATCCTCTACTTCTATGATGAGCACTAGGGGTTCAACTAGAGCTTCAATAGTGTCATTCTATGAGCAGTGTAGCCAAAGAAACTAGGGAATGTACTTTAAGATGTACAAGGCTTACTATAGACATGATTTGTTAGACCACTCTTTGAGAGATTTCCCTAAGCCTAATAGTACCGCTCTGCATATACTTAAAAATTGAATCTTTTAGCTCAATGAGGTCTAGGGTTTGCTAAATGTGGAGCAAGTTCCACATCAAGACAGTAGAGCAGAGGCACTACTAAATCCTCTGCCAAACTAGATATTCATGTTTCAACAAGTATATTTTGAGAGCCAGTGAGGATTATGATGCGACTAATATGATTGCATGTATCTTCATGTTATTTTTAGTTTCTATTATTACATTATTGGGTTTCAGATCCACACATTAATACAATCATTTTGTTCTTATGACTAAATTGTTACAAATGGGAGTTCCGATAAAAAGTGACAACATAGCTTCAAATAGCTTAAGGTGATTCGAACTGAGGCATTAGTTTTGACTCGGTCGAAGTTGGGTAAAGATGATGTGGTGTTCAGTGATGCGTCATTGAATGAACTTGGTTGTGTGCTCATGCAAAAGGGTAAGGTAGTCGCTTATGCATCTAGGCAACTAAAGCCTTTTGAGCTCAACTACCCTGCTCATGATTTGGAGTTAGCAGCAATATTCTTCGCATTAAAGATTTTAAGGTACTATCTCTTTAGGGAGAAATGTTATATCTATAACAATTAAATAAGGGTCTCAAGAATTTTGTCACCTAGAATGAGCTGAATTTGAGGCAACACAAATGAATTGAATTCCTTAAGGATTATGATTGTCTCGTTGATTATCATCCGGGTAAAGATAATATGGTAGTTGATGTATTAAGTCGTAAATTGATGTTCGATTTACTAATAATGTTTACGAGTCTGAGGATGACAGAGGATGTTGGATTGTCTATGTTGGTGTGGGAGGTAAAAGATGCTCATTTATTATATGATAGTTTGATGGCCAGAGCAGATATGGTAAGGCAATGATAAGCATCAAGATTCAGATTGCAAGACGATGATGTATTGTACTTCACGGGAAGACTTTGTGTTCCTATTGGAGAGTTTAGAGATATAATTCTTTGTAAAGACCATATTAGCCTATTTACTATACACCCAAGTATCCATAAGATGAATCAAAATCTTCGTTCAACTTATTGGTGGCCAAGGATAAATAGACATGTATCAAAGTTTGTATCTCGATGCTTCGCCTTTCACTAGGTCAAGATAGAGTTTCAGGTTCCTTAGTCTTCTTCAGTATAGCTAGATATCAAATTAGAAATGGGATAAGATCACTATTGATTTTTTATGGGGTCATAGATGACTCAATGTAGACACGATATGATTTGGGTGGTTATTGATCGCTTGATGAAACCACACATTTTCTGCCAATGCATATTGGCTTCACCCCTGAAGGGTTGGCCAGATTGTATACTGGTGAGATAGTGTGGCTTCGTGGTGGTCAACCTCGATCATTTGAGATATATATGCACGATTTATCTCAAGATTCTGAAGAGCCTTAGATGATGCATTAGATATTCGACTACATTTCAATACAACTTTTTATCCTCAAATCGATTGTAGTTTAAGAGAGTAATTCAGATTTAAAAGGACAGTGTGTGATTTTATATAATCGATTTTGAGGTTAGTTAGAGAAGCATTTATATTCGGTCAAATTTTCTTACAATAACAATTTTACCTCGAGCATTTAGATGACCCCTATATATAGCATGAATAAATTAAAAACAAATGTAGATAAACACATACTTATCCGATGTAAGTATGTACATTTTAGAATGTCTTTATGTATTTTCAAAGAATAAAAAATAAAAATAATAGAAAAATAAATATTAAGTTTTTTGTATAAAAAAATTTATAAATTAGAAACAAAGAATAATATTTAATATGAACTTCCATGTAAATATTTTCACTTTAATATTAAGAATTCAATTTGCTAAAAAAATTCTCAAGAATAATTTGATAAAATATGCATTCTTAACCTTAAACAATCGTGTCCGCTTCCCGTACACATCTAGGCTTTCTGAATGAAGAAGACTCACTTGAACCATCCATCAAGAAATCACCCCAAGCCAAAGTACACTATTGCAAAGCAATGAAGTAACAACAGACTTCTTTGGTGGTGATGATGATCATAATAATAATAACCTTTGTTTCTACTTCTGAATCATTTAGTAGAGCTACATGTATCAGTTGCTACATATTCAAACAAGCGTCTGCAACCGAGTTATTTCTACTATCTTCAGTCCATAAACAATAAACAAAAAAAAAATGGATCTCAATTTTGTAGGTTAGTGTCACACGATAGAATCACATGTTAAAAAAGCAAACCATAAATGAATACCAAAGCTAAAAAGATTATGTTGTCAAAATGAATTCAGCCAAAAAAAAAATCTAGCACCAAGGAAAATATCATTTCATAATGCAAGGATACACAAGTTACATGCAACAGGGAAAGTCCAGATCAAGGGATAATAGATGATCAAACAAACGATTAGTGGTAGAATACGTGGTTTGAGATTTTTCCAAGAAATACGGAAACCCCACAATGAATTTAATGAGTTTATATCATTTGCCTATCTAAGTAAATCTTACATCGTGCCTAGGGAAACAACAACAGTGGCTTTCTCTGCCATAGAAAACAAATAGCTGATAGTACATGGAAACTGATAACATTGATCAGGTTAATCAATCAATCTCACCAATCTTTTCTAATGTGTTGCTGTTCACCTAATTACCCGCCTATAAAATGAATCAGCTTAAACCACCCAGTGATATATATCCCATAGCACTGCTCACCTTGAGTGAAAGAAATAACATATAGAGCATTATAAGACCCAGTCCTAATCTCTTGCTAGGCTGCATGTCATTCCGAGGCAAAACTATAAGTGCCCAGATTAATCCTGACATGAGAAAGCCCACGGTACAAAACAAGCTGCTATCTTGAGGAACCAAGTACAAGTAAGGACTCTTTGACCAAGCTCCAAGCAGCAATGAGATGCCCAACCCAACAAGTGTGTTGAACATGGGACCTGCATAGCAGCCAGACAATGCAATTTGCACACTATCACCGCCATTCATTGCCAGTGCAACATTTGACACCAAATCACCCATTGAATTGCCCCACGCCAGGATAGTTACTCCAAGAATGGATGGATTAATTCCAAAAATCACACCAAATGCTACCAACAGAGCAACAAGCTCATTAGCAATAATATAAAACCAGACAATGCTCATAAAAAATCCCCCTAATACCCATGGAATTAAAAACCTCTGAGGTGGATGATCAGATACAGTATTCTGATATGCAAGAACACCAAGAGTGCAACCAGCTGCAACACTGATACACCATGTTATCACTCGAATCTGGGAGCCCACATCACCTTGGCTATTCCACAGAAATGCTAACAGAACAGGAGCCAATGAAACACTAGCTACAGCATATGGTTTTGACCATGATTCTTGATTGACTAGAGGAATTGTTAGTCGCCTTGGAACCGTCAGTGGCAACTCCAGGAGCAATAACAATTTAGAGCATGAGAATGGTGTGTCATTAGTTTCCATGCCCTCTTCAGTCCAACCCCATGGAGGCCTCTCATCAGCTAATGAACTAGCCTTATTTAAGTGATTTGAATAAATAGCAACATTTGTAGCCCACATCCATTGTGGCAGGGAACTAGGGAGTTGGGGTGGATCGTTTTCGGAGTCCACATCAAGCAAAGAACTATATAGGAAAGTATCCTCCTCGTTTCCTTGTGAAAACAGACTTCCTCGAACAGGAAGCAATTGTGTAACAACATCCAATTTCAACCTCCTGGGATGTTTCCACAGAATCTCATTTGCAACCACGGAAAATGCATAAATCACATAGATCATGACAAATGCAATGGCACCCAAAATACTCACCTTACCAATTAGTAATATGATTGTAAGTGACATGAGTGTAAAAAGGAAGAAACATATATCCCTAATGAAGCATCTTTTATCAATCTGGACCCCCTTCTCTGCTACACAAAGGGAGACAGCCCCTACAACAACACAAGTAACAAAAACTCCACCACCCAATACACTATTAAGACCCACTCCCCCTGTATCTGTCCCCAAAAATGCAGCTATACTCGCAAACACATCCGGTGCCCCATTTCCTAATGGAAGGAGTGCAACCCCAGCAACAGTTGGAGGCAACATAAGCAGAAGCGAAAGCTTCTCCAATGAACAGCAAAAGTAGTCGGCTGCAGTGTTTCCCAATAGGTAAAACAAAGAAGCAAGCCAAAAACCCAATATCAAATGGCCCACTATACTAAATTCACCACAACCACAATAGAAGAACCTAATGTAATCAAAGAAACCTTCCGAAGAACATTGTGGATTGGCTTTCAAGAACTCACATTGATTAGCAAAACCCTTATAATCCATTAATCCAGCACAGAAAGCATGGTTGCTCGAGCTTACATTCAACTCATTCAGTTGATCATTCCAGGGAGCTAAATGCGATGAATTGGAATAAAGTTCACTAATTCTTCGACGAAGTATAACATGACCAAACACATAAGGGAATCCAGTCCTTTTAGTCAAATTATGATTAAGAAACCCAGACGATTGGCTAATATGAGGGTTTCTTAAGAAATCTACCCGGGTGTAGAAAAAGAGAAATAGAACCAAGGAAGATAACCCACTGAAAATCCCATGAATTTTGGGATTTCTTTTAGTATAAATACAATTATCCCTCATAAATAATCTCGTTATATAGACCAAAACATTAAGGTTTTCAAAAATTTAATACAAAGTGAATTAGGCTAGGGTTTTCAGCTAAGTAGGAAACCCCAACCTTTGAATTCAGGAGAGAAAATGACTACGAAATTTAGAATACGTACCGATGATCGAAGTAGACAGATTTTTAGATGCAAAAACGAAGATTAAAGAGAGAAGGAAATTTTATGGCTTTCTTGGGGCGGTTTTTCGAACGAAGTTCGTTGATAACAATAAGGAAGTTTTTTTTTTTAAATAAAAAATAGGAAGTTAGTTCGAAATTTCTCATGAAATTATTAAACTTATTTGTTAGGGTAAACAACAAGTTTAGTACCTAAATTATTTTTTAATCCTATTTGAGTATTTAAACTTTCATTCATTTTAAAATCATTCCTAATTTTTAGTTTATTTTGGTAAATTGCCGTTAAAAACTTAGCGAAACTGTTACAACATGATATTTTTATTGGTAAATTACATCATTAATCACTCAATTATCTTCTCACTCCTATTTTGGTCACTGAAGTTTATTTTTTTAATTCAATTACTTAAATTTCAAATTACTCTTAATTTAATTTCTTTAACTTTAAAATTTAATTTTTTTTATTTTAATTATATATTGATAAAAAAATAAAAAAATCATGTCACAAAAATTATTAATAAAATAAATTAGAGTGATCAAAATATGAACAATTTGAAAGTTGAGTAGTTAAATTTTGAAAATTTTTAAACTTTAATTACCAAAATAGGAGTGAGAAGATAGATAAGTGATAAATGATGTAATTTACACATGACTTTGAAATAAAGGTTATCCTATTTTTAACTGTGGGTACCAAAACGAAATATAAAATAAAGGTTAAGTATGACTTTGAAATAAATGAAAATTTATATTCCAAAACAAAACAAATGTAATAGTTCAAATACTAAACAGGTAGCTTATCCTATTTATATCACCCCTTTATTTTTTATTTATGAGTAAATTACAAATATAACAACTGAACTTTCTTATCACTACTATTTTAGTTGTTATATTTTAAAAGATTTCAATTTAGTTTTTTTGCCAGTCGATCGTTTTCTCCATTACAGCTTGCTTGATTACCTGGCTTATTTTAATATTAAAATCTGCCACTTTTAAGACCTATATATTTGGGTTGAAAAGTCATCTCTCTCTCTCTCTCTCTCTCTCTCTCTCTCTTCTCATGTTTATACATCAGTTTTTTTTTTTTTTTGCAAGTGATTACCTCGCTCTCAATCTTAGTTACTTCTTGTTCTTATTTCTCGACACTCAACCAAAGCAACTTTATATCAGATGATTCTTCAATTGTTTTGATTCTCTACAAGGCATTCCCAATGTTAATGGAAAAAATGATCAAAACGATCAAATGTGGATTTTCTAATAATTTGGGCAGCATATTTATTACCAACCATTATAAACGTAATTCAAAGATATAAACAAAAGTTATTCAAACTTTGTTGCGAAGGAGAAAAATGTATTGTGTTTATGTTATATATTGGCCCCAAAACATTTTGTATATTTGTTATATAGTCTCATTGGATATTATTTACATGAAAATAAATGAAAAGTTCAAGTCTTTTTCACACATTATATATATATATATGATGTGAAAGTGAATGGAACAACGTATGTGGGAGATGCGAAATCTAGTTTAGGTGGTGCTGCAACATTATATAAGAATGGAGACAATTGGGATTTTAGTAGCATTGGAGGCTTTAGGGACGATAATGATGAACGAATGTTGCGTCGCGTTATGTGAAGCAGACAACGAACATGCCTAACCAGTTGTATTCTACAACGCATCTATCTCCACTTTCAATTACTTATTATCGTTATTGTTTAGAGAATGGGAGTTATTCAATGAGATTACACTTTGCGGATATTGAAATCACCAATAGCACGAGATCTGGAAAACTTGGGAGGCGGATTTTCGACATTTATATTAAGGTAATTGATGATGATTGTGAAACTAATTCCTTCTGCAATGGTGTTTGTCCAATTGATTTCTTGGTTGGCATATTAGTTAAGTTACTGAGACACCATTCTGTCTCCATTGGTTGTCAGACAAATAAGTGTCACTGAATTTTCATGTTGCGGGATCTGCTGGTGGAAAAAGACTTCAATGTAGAAGCTGAAGCTGGTGGGATTCTTACTCCGCTAACGAAACACTATAATGACAATGTAACAAACGGTGAACAAGAAATTCGTTTTTACTGGGATGGAAAAGGCACTCAAGCAATTCTTGTTCGAGGAGTCCAGGCACGTTTATGAGATTTTGCTGGTCCTCGAAATGAACTAAAAATTTAGGCTCCCTAATCATATAGATTTAAATTACAATTTGCATTTTTGTTTTTAGTCGCGTTGTGTTTATCACTATTGCGGACATAATTGATGATATTGTGGTCACCACAAGTATCGTGATTGTGAATTTTAATAACATATGTTATTGTGGATATCACGGTTTTGGACAATGTCGTTACAACTATATAACGGTCATTGTTTTGGTTACATACCGTTATGTAAGTAATTGTTCCTACTAACAAGTATTAAAAAATAAACTTTAAGGGGGTGTTTGGTTAAATGATTGTGGGATTCCCATGGGATGGGAATCCCACATTCCCATGTTTAGTTGGCCGGGAATCTCATTCCCGGTAATGTTTTATTACCAATAGTAGATTTTTTTGGATATATTACCGGGAATGTCATTACCTCCCTTCCCTTAGGTATTGTAACATTACCGAAGTTTTGGACTAAAATACCCTTAAATTTTTATTTTTTTCCAAAAATATCATTCTTCTGTCATTTAATAATAAAAATTCTACGAAGGTTAAATTATAAAATTATTCTTAAATTATTTTAGATTTACAAAAAAAAGTCTATAATTAAAATTTTATATGAAGTTTAGGGGTTAAATTTTTTTTTTACCCTTTCATTAAACCTTTTTTATATTTTTAATTTTGTAAAAAAATTATATAAATATTATGAATTTAATTTTTTAAAAGAAAATATATAAATATTTTACAATTTGTAATATTATACAAATATATAATAAGGAAAATTTGGCCAAATATACATTTCAATAATCTTTTATTCCTTTAACCAAACACAGTAATCTTACATTCCTGCTAAACCAACCAAACATTAAATACAACATTCCCAGTAATCCTATTCTCTGGTAATCTTATATTCCCACTGGTAATCTTACATTCTGTGAACCAAACGCACCCTAAGGGTTGCTCCATAATAACAAGTATTAGAAAAATGAGACCCTGATAACAAATATTAAAGAAAAAGTAAATTTTAAGTATACTCATAATAACATACTACAGCAAAACAGAGTTTTAGCGGCGTTTTTTTAGTTCTATAGTACTTGCGACGATAGGAAAAACGCTGCAAGAAGCGACGGCCATACCAGCGCCGCTAAAGTTAGCGGCTTTTGAGAGAAAGAAAAATGCCGCAATAGGCCAAGATATATAGCGGTGTTTTTGGAACAAACTTCGCAAAAAGTCGATATCTATAGCGGCATTTTTGGAACAAAGGTCGTAAAAGGTCGTGCTCTATAGCGACATTTTGGAACAAACGCCGCAAAAGGTCAAGATCTATAGCGGAGTTTTTGAAACAACCGCCACAAAAGATCGTATCTATAGCGGCGTTTTTGAAACAAACGCCGCAAAAGGTCATATCTATAGTGGCGTTTTTGGATACAAACGCCACTAATTACCTTTCTTTGGCTAAGAATAATTGATTTTGCATATTTCATTTATGCTTTACTAAATTTAATATCATGTAGCTTTATCTAATTTACGACAACCATACATTTTAATTAAGACACAAGTTATGTAGAAAAATACTTAACAAAATAACTTAAAATTTATAAACATTAAAATTAAATGTAATGTAGTTTGACATTGTTTTCTAGAATTTAGTCTAGGTTCTTTCACTTTCAATTAAAAAAATATTTCACTACAATTTAGTCTTCATTGCTCCTTCGTGGGGAAAGGAAGTAAAAAACAGTTTTCCTTTTTTGATGAAGCTCAACTAACTCACGAGTCAACTCTAAATACTGCTTCTGATCTTCACCAACCGGAACTGAATCAGACTGCAGAAACATGCAGCAATTGCGTAAATATATAAGACATTTTCATTTATCTCAATGTAAATGGACATTACTTCACCTTCCAGATCAATAGGTAAGTCCCCTATTGGTGTTTTGTACACCGTAGCAGTTGACAGAGCACATTTTGGAGACTCGAATCTGCAACATGATATTATTGAGAAACAAGAAGGAATATAAAAAAGTGAAGAGAAAATAAAAATGGATAGCAAACCTCAAATAGCGGTAAAGTCCATTTTTCTTTACAATAAGCTTTTAAAGGGCGAACAATATCATCAGAGGTAGCAGAGCATGAGAAATATGGTGGATCCTTTCCACGAGATATTTTAAAGAACCTTTGATTAAGAGCCTGTAGAAACATGGACTCTACAAGCATGTCCCTATAGTCTTTTACTGTCTTCAGCTCATCCGCTGGCATCTTATAGATAATCATCACCGCAGACTTTTACAAGCAATGACAAAAATGCGGAATTATAATTTTTCGATTTCCTACAAATAAATATGCTAAAATAAGTTCAAGACTTGAAGTGTACTTACCCCAGCAGCTTCAGACTCCACAAAACACGGAAAATATGGCTCCTCATGAGAAGGAACCAAAAATAATGGTATTATTGGAGGGTCAAATGCAGAGGTTTTCTCCTCAAAATGGGTCCTTATAAACTCAACAACACTCTAGAAGAGAGAGAACATAGAGAAATTGTTGAGCAATCTTGACTGATAAACAAACTTATGTTGCAACTCATAATAGAGCTGTCATGCTAACAAATAAATACTAACCCGTGTATCAGGAAAATCTCCAACAACTATCACTGCCATATTGTGTAGATGGTACCATTTGTTATAAAGGTGCTTCACTGTTTCAGAAGACATTGTTCGAATTACGTTTTCCAAACCAATTGGTAGGCGCTCAACATACTGCAATCAACTCGGGTTTAGTTGTAAAATACTCCAACATAAAGTTAGAATCCACAAGTTATAATTCCAACCAAAATATATTGATGATATTAATCTTAAATCTTTAAACTCCAGCAAAATCTCAAGTCTGAACAATAAGCGAAATGAAAGGACGTCACTGCAGACAATGAATGGAACAATAT